GCGGGCCCCGGACCCCCCCCCCCCCCCGCCGCCACCCCAAAAGCCAGGCAACGGATGTGTTTCACAGCATGCAAGGGGCAGCACATGGAAATGGTTTTGGACCAAGCTCTCACATCGAGAGCTTTTGTAGACATCACCCTACTAGACCCCCCCCTTTTTTATACTCAAGAGAGCTCTGGCTTGTTTTCCCTAAGCGCTGGCAGAAGGAAACACACCGTTAAAATCAGTTGCTCCTAATCACTTCTTTAATGTGGCTTTTCTTCACAGCATGCAAGGGGCAGCACATGGAAATGGTTTTGGACCAAGCTCTCACATCGAGAGCTTTTGTAGACATCACCCTACTAGACCCCCCCCTTTTTTATACTCAAGAGAGCTCTGGCTTGTTTTCCCTAAGCGCTGGCAGAAGGAAACACACCGTTAAAATCAGTTGCTCCTAATCACTTCTTTAATGTGGCTTTTCTCCATGGCTCATTTCTGAGATGCCTTCACTCCCCCCAAGCCTCTCCTGTACGTGGAGGACCCAACTCTGTGTACAAGTGACTGCTGGATGAAGAAGGTTAGAATTACCTTTGGAAGTACTCAGGGTACTGTGGCAAGTACCGTGCGTTCCTCTGAGCATGTCAGTGTCCAAATGCCAAAGGCTCTATCCAGCTCCCCGCACACCGGCTCCAGAGCGGGATCGAGCCGAGACGGGCAGGCGTCTATCTGACACTGATGTAGAGAGGCATTTCGCAGCAGAGAGATCCAACCTCACCATTCCCCAAGTGGGTGCCAAGCTTGTCTCCCTGCCAAGGCTGAATTCTCTCGCTGGCGAGCTTGAAACCAAACCCACCTTTGGTATGGATGGCGCCGGGCTGGAAAAAGTCAAGTGAAGCGAGATTTTCTGGGTGGGCTTCAAAGCAGCGTTATAGCGAATACAACCAGATGCGCTAGTGTGGTGTCAGGGGAGATTATGGCCTGGGGGGTTGTTGTTTTTTTAATATAGACCAGCAAAATAACAGCGGCAGGTGCAGCTGCATCCGAGGTTCAGAAGTAACTGGAGATGCCCGGTCAGTTGGGTTCACATAGGGGAGTAACTATAACCCTGGGCAATTAAAACAAGACATGCCCAGAAATAGCTCCGAGGGCGATTAACTCTTCTGTGTTCAAACAAACGGTGGAGTGTTTGCTTTGCTGGCTCACCGCAGGGTTATTTTGGGTGCAGCCTTTGGGGCCTGGCCCATCCTAGACTGCTGAAGTCTCTGAGAGTTGATGTAGCTCATGTGCTAAATACTCAGTAAACTCTTACAGGAAGAGATGCCTGCTCCATTCAATCCCTTTGCAATAGACATGCCCGGAGCTGACAGACACGCTAGGACCTGTGAGCTGTATTGTATGGTTTCAGGAAGGGATTTTCAGACACCTGAGCAAGTTGGGTTTGGGGCAGCTGGTGCGTCTGGGAATGTCCTACAGCTTTTAACAAGCAAAGAATACTCAGTAAACTCTTACAGGAAGAGATGCCTGCTCCATTCAATCCCTTTGCAATAGACATGCCCGGAGCTGACAGACACGCTAGGACCTGTGAGCTGTATTGTATGGTTTCAGGAAGGGATTTTCAGACACCTGAGCAAGTTGGGTTTGGGGCAGCTGGTGCGTCTGGGAATGTCCTACAGCTTTTAACAAGCAAAGAAACAAGAAGCTTCTACAGAAAGACCTCTCAAACCTACAGCGCTTAATAGCCAATAAGGTCCTTTCTATAGTTTTTATAAACAGCCTGTAGAATTCTGTAGCCCACAGAGTCAACTTGTGGAACTCCTCGCCAGAGGATGTTGTGAAGGCCAAGACTTAAACAGGGTTCAAACGAGAGCTAGATACATTCATGGAGGTTAGGTCCATCAATGGCCGTTAGCCAGGATGGGCAGGGATGGTGGCCCTGGCCTCTGTTTGTTAGAAGCTGGGGATGGGCGACAGGAGCGGGATCGCTTGAGGATTCCCTGTTCTGTTCACTCTCTCTGGGGCTTCTGGTATTGGCCACTATCAGAACACAGGGCCTGATGGACCTTTGGTCTGACCCGGTTTGGCCGTACTGACGTTCTTATGTAATTCCCTGTTACACTCTATAGGATGGGATGACAATCCCTATAGAAGGGGCGGGGCGGGAGGGGCGTGCTGAGAAAGGCCAGTGGGCTAAACCAACCAGCTCATACTGGCCCTATTCTTTCGGCATGTTTCATCCAAACATTTTTTTACATAGTTGAACCTCTCTAGTCTGGCAACACCTGTGGTCCAGCAGGGTTTGAGCGAGCCGCCTGTCCACGGAGCACGGGGGTGGCCAAGTTTCCTGCAGTCCCATACACCCCCCAGCCCTGGCTCTCAGTGGTCTGGGCTTCTATTTCGCACCAATTTACCCCTAAATGTCTCTCAGAGCCCTGCAAGCAGTGGCAGTGCTGGTGATACGGCTAGACAACACTGACCTCCCCTGGTCTGGCACGTTCTCTGGTTCGGCACCGGGCAGGTCCCGAGGGGCGGTTTTGCCCGTATTTGCAATATTTTCGAAACTAGCGAAACAGTGGGCCCGGCCCTGCAGGAGCGCAGCGCGCTGGCGGCCTGCCCTGGCGTCCAGGAGCGTATCGACAGTATGTTACAAAGCGACATGGGCAGCGCAGCCTTACACCCATGCATGACGCGGCTCAGCCTGGCTGGCTGTGGGGTGCAGGGTTTCTGAGACTACGGTGACGAGGGTCGTGCAAGCACCTGGCAGAGAGCCGCCTGAGCCTGGTGTGGGGCAGAGCCCGCACCTTCTGCTATCCTCTGGGCAGGCCCGCCAAGGTGGGGGAAGGAGGCAACTGCCCCACGGTCCCATGATTCAACAGGGCGCGGGTGTGACGGCGCGTTGGGGGTTCCCCGTCTCCTGCACCCCGAAATGGCACAAACAGACTGCACCAGCCAGTGGAATTGAGGGTGGTTTATTGCTCCTCCAGCACAGCGCAGCACAGATGTAATCTGGTTACAGGAACTGGGCTAGGATGCCTCAGGCCCCCTTGAGATGGGGGAGACTGGGCCCCTAAACTCCAGCCCCTTCCCCTAGGCTCTCCTCCATGCTCTTCCACAGTCTAACTAAATTCCCCTCCAGCCCTGCCCCCGCAGTCAGGGCAGCATTCCACCTTCCTTTGTTCCTCTCCATGGGGGGTGTCTGGCCACTGGTTCAACCAGTTTGGCCTTATCTCTGCCTAGCCAGGTTTTCTCTGCTGGGTCTTGCTCCAGACAGCAGGGGTCACCACAGCCCAGCAATTACCCCCACTACGTCACAGTTCTCCCCCCTCCGAGAGCGAACTGAGCAGGGTCACTCCGCTCGTGACCTGGGGAAGTTCGGGCCCCTCGCTACGGGACAGCGCGTCGGCGATGATGTTGGCGCTCCCCTTGACGTGGATCACTTCCATGTCGTAGTCCTGCAGGAGCAGGCTCCACCGCAGCAGCTTGGCGTTCGTCCCTTTCATCTGGTGCAGCCAGGTCAGGGGGCAGTGGTCGGTGAACCCCTTCCGCTGGCCTTGATCTCTGGCCAGGGTCTCTCGGGCCGGGGCCATGAGCCCAGTGAGCCTTCTCTGGACAGCCAGGGCGGCTTCCACCCCCGAAGCTCCATCCAGGGAGGTCTTC